CGAAACCTCTCAAAAAAAAAAAAAACAAAAAAAAAAAAAACAAAAAACCAGACAAATGGAGAGGAAAAGCAGATGGGCTGCAGATGCGGTTTTGGGATTGAGGAGTGACTAGTGGGGAATTCCCTGGAATTTCTTTCTACCTACTATATCCAGGAATGGGTTCTGGAGAAAATGGGAGACAGGAAACCCCAGCAGGCACAGATAAAAATGTCCTAAGAAAAGCATATGCTTTCTCTATCCAAAGACAAAGAAAGGGAAAACCTAATGAGACCAAAACTTACATAGTAAGAATCTACTCACTTCAAACATCATGGAGAAATCCCACCACCATCAGCAAAGGCTGAGTGAGGAGTGACTTCAGTTTGATTATTAGTCTGGTCCATTGGGGCCTAGTGCAATGAGTTCAGTCCAAAACAATGGCCGCGAACACGTTTCATTTAATAGATGTAATAACTCATGTTAATTATGCCAGATATAACACGATCTCATATAGCAGAGCTCAAATGTTCCTAGCCAATGATTAAGCTCTTGACTTAAATTTATATAGAGCTTAGTAATGTAGAAAAATTGAGGACCAACAAAATTAAAAAAAAAAAATCTATTTACACTAGAAAGAAAAAAAAAACAACACTACATTATAACTACCATGTGCATCCCTGCCTTCCTCATTAAACTACGAATGCTCTGAAGGACACTGAGATATACAAACATGGATATGTCATTCATTCTCTAAATATATCTTGCATACCTACTAATAGAACTAAATACATTGGAGCCGGCAGGTGATGTAGTGGTTAAGACACTGGACTCCCACATGGCTGACTGTGGTTCAAGTCCCGGAACTGGCAGCTTGAAACTCACACCAAGTACATGTGCATGCATGCCCAAAATTCTGACAGAAAAATGAAGGAGAAGGGATTATGGTGTGGCCACTCCTCCCTGGGAATATCTCTCTGGCAAGTGCATATGCCCTTTAGGAAAAACAAAACAAAACAAAAACAAACAAACAAAAAAAACACCTAAACACTAGCTATAGGAACATACAGGAAGAGTCTGTCCACCAATAAACACAGATGCTTACTCATATCATACTGGATCTCGCTAAATGTCAGAGTGCCATCACATTTTAGCACTTCCTGAATTCTTACCAGATACCTAATAGTTGATGCAAATGGACCACTAACAATCCAACAATTTGTCCAAAACCTCGGAAGTCCTACAACAAAACAGTAGATATATTTTTTGTCCCAAAATAGCTATACAGTTGGATATTTTTATCTGCTAGACAATATCTGGAGGTTCACAAGAAGGAGTCATAGCAGATACTTTTACCTTTACACTGTTGTTTTTACTCTTCTTAATGTATGTCAGTCCTGGGCCTTTGAACTGTAAAACTTGTTAACTCTAGGGAACCAGCAGGTGACATGGTGGTTAAGGTACTGGACAATCCCACATGGCCGACCACGGTTCAAGGCCTGGACCTGGTGGCTTGCTTTCTCACTTTCTCTCTCTCTCTCTCTCTGTCTCTCTTTGGTCAAATTAAAAATAAATGAATAAATTAAACATTAAATCAATAATTCTTAAAAAAAAAAAAAGAAAGAAAAAAACTTGGCCACTCTAATATGCTAGGACATAGCAGGGCAACGGAACCCTGCAAACACATGATAGTTGTCATTACAGTCTATTTGATAGCCCTGCTGAGATATCTGTGTCTTAAGTACAGGTCACAGGAATGTTTTTGCAGCTTTCTCTCTCTAATTTCCCTGCCTCAGACCCAATGTATTCACTACACCTCCTCCTGGACCATATGCATCAATAGAACTAGATCAGAAATTGTACTCTGCCTCAGAAGAAGATCCGCTGGAAACAAAGAGGAAGGTGGAGGGCTAAGGCTCTGTAGAAACAAAGAAAGCAATCAGTAAGAGTGGAGGCCTAGAAACGGTTGACTCACTCCTGTCTCAATTTCTTTAAAGAAAAAAATCATGCTTTAAAAATGATAAAATATTGGGACCAGCAGGTGGCATGGTGGTTAAGGCACTGGACTCCAATATGGCTGACCATGGTTCGAGTCTCAGATCTGGCAGCTTGCATTCTCACTTTCCTTCCCTCTCTCTTTGTCTCTTGTGAGCACATGTACCCTATAGCAAATTTTAAAATTATAATAATAAGTAAAATTAAAATAAATAATTCTTTTCAAAAATGATAACTATTCATTCCATTAATCTCATCTTTATTTTGCAGGATGGGTGAAACTCCTTTCCAGTTTGGGAAGTACATTCCCCAGATAAAAACAATTAAAACCAACTCCCTACAGAGTTCAGTTCAGGTATGCTGGGGACCTGAACATCATGAATCCTACATATTCCCACTTCTCTCTCTTGAAATTGCTTCCCACAAACAAGACAAGTACAAGTTCCAAAGGGTTAGGGGCTCTACGGGTTTGCCTTAAACAGCTGATAATATATCATATATTATGAGAATGAGATGATCTTCTCTAAAGAGCCTTTTGATAGAAATTGCCCAAAGAAAATTGAGTGTCATTTCTCTTGCCACCAAAAAGAAATCCTACCTCCTACACTGGCAAGGGTATGAAAGGTCTATGAGAAAACTTGAGTGCTTTTTCCAATGAAGACAATAAAGGGAACGGAACCTTTGAAAGAATGCCTATGTGTAAAGCTCACCATCTTGAGATAATCTCTATCTTTTAGAGATATAGTTCAGAAAGATGGGATTAACACAAGTCAGAAAACACACAAACGCTAAACTGGTTTTTAATAGTCTCAAGCACAGACCTAGAGTTCAGGAAAAGAGGCCCTCAGCCCTCTCAGAAAAGCAGATTTCAAAGAACAGAAGTGAAACTAAAAAACTGAGAGGTACCATAGTTATTGAGCCTAGTTCACAGAAGGAGGAGGAGGAAATAACCAGGGAAGACGTGTGGGTCCTCTTGCATTGCCAAGTCTTGACTGTATGCCTCAGCTCCTGTTCTGAAACCTTCCACGCTGACACTGAAGGAAACAGCATCCCAATACACAGGATGGAACCTTTCAAATCTTTAGAAAACAACACTTATTCCTTTATGTATTCTAGCATACTCTCGCTCAGCAGCGTTAACTCTAAGTAGGAATACTAACTTAGAAGGCGGTTACGGCCTAACCAGCAAGCAGCTCAGTGACAAATGTAGCTGCTGTATCAAAATTACTCAGCAGCTATACAAATTGTAGATGATAATTTATGAAAGAAATTCTAATTCTACTGACTAAAGCAGTGAATGTCAAACAAAGGGCAGCAAAATATAGGTTGAAATTTTCACATAAACATGTTTTACAAAAGAACAACTCTAATGTATAATTAAATAAAAAGCACGTTATGTTCATTTTATCCATTTATCACTAGAAGCAATAATAAACGTAAGAGCTTTGTTTTTCTACAAAGAACTTTGTCGCAGACTGTCCTGCCATTTCCCAATTTAAAATCTTCCAAGCCAATCAAATTCTCCAAGATATTCACAACCTCAGTTTCAAGCACCAGAACCCACCCAATCAAGTTACTAAAATGACAAGTTGGGAGTTTCCACTTACCTAGAAATATTGTTGAAGCTGAGAAACAGACGCTGGAGGCAGGGCAAATTATCCACATCTCTCTAGAAGCAAACAGAGAGCAAACATGTAATAGTTGGAAGGGGAAAAAAATGACAGATGTCTTCTGGCCCGGCTGTGGAAATACAGTCCTTTCTCTTTGCTGCGACCTCGCTCCCCCACTGGTTTCTACTGGGCACTGAGCTCCAGGCTCCTCCACTGCAGACTACCGGGAGCGTCTCAGCGCATCTGCAGAACAAGCTGCACCACTCCGAGGTAAAAGCACTGAAGAGCAGGAGATGCCGCTAGCCTCTCTCAGCAGTGCTTTTGGGAAAGACGCCAGGAGGCTACCTCAGCATTTCAACTGTAGCGCGGACACAGCACGATCAAACATTTGCTAAGCGTTACTTTTAAAAGGAAGCCATGCAAAAGCTTCACATTTGAAACTTACACAATTAGCCTTCCAAACAACAATGAGAATTTCCAAGCTGACTGTTTTCAAACCCTTGGAAATATACCACACAGTTACAAATGGCCAATATGCTGACCATTCTCGCCCCACCTCCCCCGCAAAAAAAAAAAAAAAAAAAAAAATCCGATCATAGTAAGTGCCACCACAGGGCCCCGTAAAGGCAACGCCCATCTAAGCACGTTTCAGAGGTTCTTAGGAGGGGAAACCTAGCTGTTACATTCATGCACAGCGCCCCGAGAGCATGCCACAGCTGCTCAATACAGTTACCTTTAGCAAGAATTGACATGTTTAGGTCCAAATATTTAAAAATAATCACAATATCAACACAAGCAAAGCTACCTAATTTCATTAAGTGAAAAGACTCCTGGTAAGTCTAACATATACTAGAGTAACAGAATCTTAAGAGGAAGCTCAGTAATGAGACCTTAATGTGAGAGAGAACAGCTGCGGCTGTGTGGCTAGGCTGGGTGAGAAGGTGGCCTGAGAGTATTCCGTCCTAGGGGCGGTGACAGGACAAGATGCTGCAATCCCGACTTGCCACGCTCTGTTCTTTAATACTACACACTGCCACTTCCCGAATCCAAGGCTTTTCAGTTTTTGGAGTTTCTCTCTATTCACGATATCAGAGCACGTGCACGCACGCGGGAGCCAGGGAAGAGATGGGCTAGCCCGAGTACAGCAGTTCATCACTGCACAGGGAGTCAGCTCCACACGGTCCTTCCCACACAGGTCACGGCCCCAGTGGCTCACAACCGCCGCAGGCAAGTGAGCATGCCAAGATCCTGACAGGGTAGAAAAGTGGAGGCAAGAGAGCTGTGGTGTGACCACACCCTGTTCAGGGTTTTCTCTCTCTCTTTCTCTGTCTCTGGTGAGTGCCTGGACCCTCAGGTAATAAAAAGAGGGCCAGCCCATGGGGTGGAATTAAGGCACCTGGATCCCACATGGCTGACTGTGTGATCGAGTCCCAAACCCAGTGCCTTGGCAAACGCATCAGGCAAGTGTGTATGCATGCTCAAACTCCTGAAAGGGAGGAGACATGGGAGGGGATTGCAACATGACCGTTCCCCCATGGGGGGTGCTTTCTCACTTGCCCTCTCTCTCGCTGCCTCTCTCTGGTGACTGCACGTGCCTCTGTCAAAATTTTAAAAAGAGAGAAAGACAGAAAGCACCTCAACAGGGTCCCATCATGCGTGATCCCACCAGGAGCCTGGGCACTCGGGCACAAGCCAGTGTGCTTTCAGGACGGCCCAGAGCTCCGACCCTGCAGTGGGCCACGTGGCCTCACGCACTGCAGTCGTCTGGCTGTGCCGCCAGGCCAGGTCTGCTTTTCATTTGAAAAGTTAATACTCAGTTAAATGAGTTTAAATAATACAATGACAAGTATGTACATTTTACAGATGATTGGGCCGGAAAAGTCATGATGCATTTTTTGCATAGGAAAACACGTCATGACTTTTCTGATGACCCAATACTGTGTCTAATATTTAAACCTAAATCAAAACTTATTCTACAGCTTCAATAAGTTACCCTTTTTCTTCCTACTTTTCTGATCCCTTTTAAAACTACCACTTCTAAGACCCCAGTAAGAGTTCACACAAGTGCATAAGAATTGCAGACAAGCCTACTTTCCCAAAAATGCCCCACTTACTTATTTTTAAAAGCTTTTGTACAAAGAAATGATAACACTGGCAGGACGGCAGCAGGGGGTTTTGAATGAGCACGGGAGAAGCGAACCTGGCTGAAGACGGCCTCCTGCCTCTCCTGTACTGACCTCGCTCAGCCCTTTCTTTTTCTCCCTTTCTCTCCCATAAAAGAATTATTTTTTCTCTTTTGTAATTTGCTATAGGGTACACGCACTCACCAGAGAGAGAGAAAGAGAAAGCACCCCCCCTTCCCGGAAGATGGCCACACTGCAATCCCTTCTCCTCCGGTCTCCTCTTATAATTTGGGTACGCACGCATATGCACCACTGTTCTGTTTTTGTTTTTTCAAATCACCAGGTCCAGGACGCAAACCATCCAGTCGGCCATGTGGGATCCAGCTGCCTTAAACACCACAGCAATGGCTGGCCCAAAAATAAACTTAAAGAATGTATTTGGTAAAATCACAATGCTTTGTATTATTACCATTTGTGGAACAACATTTTATTAGAAGTCTTTTCAAATTTTCAGAGTAATTAAATATCTGGTAGTTATAAACAGTATTCACAACAGTTATTAACTATCTGGTAGTTATAAACAGTATTCACAACAAACAGGAAAACTAAAAACTGAAATGCCAATATATATACACATATATATTCCTATAACCATTATAGAGATAGTCTTTCCAGAACTTTAAAAAACAAAATTAAGTACCCATAATCATTTTTGTTGTTCTAAATTTCGTTTCTGTGAGAAAATACTTGAATTTTTTAGCAAGTCCAAGATATACTTTTGTAATGAAATTTTAGCATTACAACAGACAAAAACAAAACATGAGCATCACCACATCAATTACGCATGAGTTATTTACAGGAAAAGTCTTGTTAAAAACTACCAGACGATGGCTCCACTAACGAGAGAGGAAGTCACGACAGAAAGTCCTTAAGATCCAGGTGGTGGGATTTGCCATCTAGGGAGCAAAGAAAATTCAGGGATGACGACTGTGTAACAGGCTTACGAGCGACCTGTCTACACTAGAGAGAGCGAGCAGGGGACGGGGACGGAGGTCTCTAAAGGAGAAACGTGAAGGTGACGTCTTTGCTCACACAGAGGAATTCTGCTAGAGAGTGCACATGCATTACTGATGGATGACTAACAACCCTAAATTAATGGAGGAAATGAGACAGCTATTAACCCCAGCGATTAGAACCAAAACATATTTTAATACAATGGTCTAAGGCTCACTTTGAAAAGGTAGCCACCAATCCTGACCTATTATAACATAAACTTATCAGTGTTAATCAAATCCATGCCCTAGGAAGCCCAAGAAATCTCAAAAATAAGTATCAAAAATATGACCAAGACTGGGACCAGCAGATGGTGTAATGGTTATGTCGTTGGACTCCCACACAGTTGACCATGGTTCAAGTACTGGACCCGATGGCTTAAAACTCATACCGGGGAACATGTGCATGTGCACCCCAAATCCCAAGAGAATGGATGGAGAAGGACTGGCGTAGCCATCCTCCCTCTGGGGGGTGATTTCTTGTTTTCTGTCTCTCTGTCTCTCTTTGTCTCTCTGGTAAGCACATAAGCCCTATAGCAAATATATAAAACCATGCTGGTGTTGAGGTAGTATGCTTTTACTTGCCAGTAAGTAATAACCCCAGCTTTCCTTCCCAATAGGTTAAACTAGTGCTATTTGGGCAGAGCCAGCATTTATCACTCTGCCTTACTGCAAGAATATAACTGTTCTGGAATGAAAAGGAAAGAAGAGATGTGGTTAGGAATAATGTAAGGAAGTTAAAGCCTCATCGCTCTGAGAAAAAGTCAACGCAGTATTTTTACTATCAAGCATTAAAACACCCGGCACTTCCTTTCTGGAGGTATTTCACAGGCACAGAAATTAGGCAGAGTCGCCAGAATGTTAACGTACCTAGGCTGAGCAAAACAAGATGAAACAGAATGTTCACCCGTGAGGGAATATTTATATGTCATCTGTCATCATCCGCTCATTAACTTAAACTGATTTAAGCTACTTAACAAAATACCGAAAACCATGTCCAAAATATTTTAAAAGCAAGGTTCAGTCATTTCACGTGTTAAAGAAATACACTTTCACAAACTGACCTAAATAAAATGATTCCTGTAAGACTGAGAGGATTATAGCTCTTTACTTTTCAAAAGAAAAATGACTTTCCATTGAAGAAACATGCTTGTCCTACTCTGCTCAGACACTATTTTCCATATTCTTAAACTTCATGGAAGGACTAAATGATTCGGCAATCTGGCGACGAGTGGGACATCATCACTGGCACTATTTTTAGAACAGCTTCCAACAGAGGAGTAGGGAAAAGGAAGGAAAAGAGATAGGGGTTTTGGCATGCATGAAACAGGGCAAAGAGGGCGATAATAACATCACAGCTACTCTTATTTTTATTAGTTTGTCTCCTTTTTTAAAGGAGTAAAATTATACAGGAGTCATTATTTTAATTTTGAGAAATGTAAATGGATTATTAACAAAGCACTGAACAAGACTGAAAATGAAAAAATATAAAACAAAATCTTTCATAGAAAGATTTATTTGATTAATTCCAACATAACGACTTGCTACAGCCCCGGTTTTGTAACACCAAGACCTACTATATAAATAATAGGTGTAACCCCTCATGTCAAAAACGCTAATCACACATCCAAGGGCCAAGTGAAGAAAAGTCCATCACCTGACGCTGTTACTAACCGGCGCTAATTAGCTTATCTGCTTTCATACTTGCTACACCATGGCAACAGCGATCCATCAAGCTGCTCTGATTTTTCCCT